AAATGCAATTAGTCCAAATTCAGAAGTATCTATGGTTGTTAATAGTCTCAACACTGTTCAGAGTTTCTTTCAGAACTTTGACTATGAACCCTTGAGCCGGCTGTGATGATGCACACCTTTAATCCCAGCACTCGGGAGGCCAGTGTGGTTTGCACAGTGAGGTCCAGACCAGCCAAAGTGGTGTTTTATACTATTACTTGTCACCTTAGAAGTATTTCAGACAGCAGATGATCTGCTTTCCTATTTATAATTTGAAGCAGAAAAATTAGAAGTACTATATGACACATAAAATGTAATCAGTAATGATTAAAAATACATCTTTTCCTTTCTATTGGGTTTCTAGCTAGAGTTGGCCCTGTGTAGCCGAAGATGACCTTGCTTTCACCTCCAAGTGTTGGGATTACAGTTGTGCACCACCATACCTGCTTTGTGTGGTGCCTTGTGTATGCTAGGCAAGCGCTCTATCAAGGGAGCTACATTCCCAGCCAAAAAAAAAAATATTTTCTGAAGACTAGCTAGCTAGTCCTTTGTGTTATATTCTAGTTATCTTAGTATTATTAGTATTAATTATAGATAATGGAAGAAAAGTTAGATGTGTGTGGGTAGTTCTTATACCCGAATTCCCTAGTTTTTCTCACAGAGCTGGAAGTTTTAGGATAAAATTAGTGGATCAAAACTTACCCTTTATGGGATCCAGCTTACCCTCTATGGGTAGTTAACGAGTGCTGATTCCTTGTCTTGGGGGTACACTGCATAAATCTTTCCCCTTGCTGGTCTCATTGGCTCAGTTAGCTAAACTTGGGATAATCGAAAACATACAGGAGTTTGCGTTGGGTCCCTGCTTGATTTGAAGTCTACTTCCATCTTGACTAATTTTATGTTGCTCTGTTTTCAAGTACATTATTTTTCTGGAAAGACTATTGTTCCAATACAATGTTTTTTTTTTCTCTCTCATACATATTATAGTTTTTCATATACTAGTTTAATTTAGCACATTTCTTTAAAGGTGTTTAGCCAGAGCTGGGCAGTGGTGGTGCACGCCTTTAGTCCCAGCACCTGGGAGGCAGAGGCAGGCGGATCTTTCTTGAGTTTGAGGCCAGCCTGCTCTGCAGAGTGAGTTCTAGTACAGCCAGAACTGTTACACAGAGAACCCTGTCTTGGCGCGGGGGGTGGGGATGGAGGGGGGGTTAGTCAGGTATGGTGGTGCATGCCTTTAATTCCCAGCATTTGGGAGGAAGAAGCAGAGGCAGGAGATCTCTAGTTCCCTGTGCTCCTTTCCACCATTTACATCACTATACTTAGGAAGGAACGACCCATGGTCTTTAACCTGTCTCTAATATGATTGGTAGGCAATTTGTGAGTCCTGAACATGGCCACCTCTAATCACGAGACACTTCTTTTTCTGGATCCCTGCAGTCTTCTACATGCACAAAATAGAGTTAGTTAGTTTTCATGTGACCATTGGAGTGGGATCCCTGCGGGTCTCTAGAGTGCTTCTGAGTGGCTCTGTTTTCATTCTCTGATGCCTCAGGGTCGGCACCAGGTTTGCCCTCCTTCCACTGAAGCCTTAATACTCTAGGAAGGAAGTTGATAGTTCCTCACTGACAGTGTCCGCGATCTCGAGATCTTTGATCCCAGCACTGGAGAGGCAGAGGGAGACAGATCTCTATGAGTTTGAGGCCAGCCTCATCTACACAGTGAGCTTCCAGGCCTGCTGTATGGGACCTGTCTCAAAGAAAAGTTTCAAGGAAGAAGGTACACTTTTGTCTATCATTATCTTGTTGACAAAGGGAAGGCCATTCCCTAGTCTTTTAATTTTCATTTCATTCTTTGTGTGTATGTGTGTGTACATACACAGGTGTATATGCACATAGGTGAGCTTGTGTGTGAGACCAGAGGTCAGTGTTAATGTATTTTCTTCAATGGTTCTCCATCCTTTAGTAAGCTATCTTTTACAATAAATTTATAATGAAAACACTTGCAAATAAAGTAAACATACACTAAAATTGAGATCAAAGGTATACAACTCTGAACATTTTTATTTATTTTATTTTATTTTATTTTGAGACAGGGTTTCTCTGTGCAACAGTCCTAGCTGTCCTGAAACTCACTTTGTAGACCAGGCTGGCCTTGAACTCAGAGATCCACCTGTCTGTCTCTTAAAAAGGTGTGTGCCACCACTGCCTGGCCCTAACTCAGTGAATTTTTATACAGTTACTATAGGCATTTAAATGGAAGCTGTGGAACTTCACTTGAGATTCAGTACTGAGTGTATTTTATGTACTTATCCACAGCCAAAAAATTCATGACAAAATTAGAACTAGAAAAAATAATTAGCAAAAAAAGAAAAAAGAATTAGCTTTATGTCCTCTTGTATAACTCTTGTCTTTCATAACTGAGTTACCCACATCAGTCCTTCCTCATTCTCTAATATTTAGCCTTTATTGTTGTCTTTATGTTATACTGTACCTACATGTACATTTGTTTACACATATAAATATATTATTGACTGGATTCTTCATATGAAAAAGAACATAAAAGTTGTTTTATTCTTTCTGAAATTGTGTGACCTTGCTTAATATTATATATTTTAAGTCAGTCCATTTTTCTGCAAATTTTTAAACTACCGTTTTTCTTTAGAGCTGAATAGTATTCATATATTTTTCCCCAGATTTCCATTATCTGTTCATTTATGATGGGTAAATAGGTTGATTCCAATTCTTTGCTCTAATGAATAAACTTGGAGATGCAACTATCTCTATGGGAGGGTATGTCATTCTCTGGGTATATGCCTAGGAGTAAAATAGATGGATTATATGGTAGCTTCATTTTTAATTTTTTGAGAAATATGCAAACTGATTTCCACAATGGCTATGTTAATTTGCACCCTTACTGACAGGGAGTAAGTGTTGTCTATAAACAGCCATTCTAACTGGGGTAAGGTGGTATCTCAAAGTAGTTTTAATGTGCATTTCCCTGATGGTGAGGGATATTAAATACTTTAAAAATTGTTATTGGTCATTTGTGTTTCCTAAAAAGCAAACAACAACAGCAAAAACGATCCAGTTAATTTGCCCATTTGTTGATTGACAGATTTATTTATTTATTTGATTTTTCGAGACAGGGTTTCTCTGTATTGCTTTGGAGCCTGTCCTGGAACTAGCTCTGTAGACCAGGCTGGCCTTGAACTCAGAGATCTGCCTGCCCTCTGCCTTCTGTGCTGACAGTTTTATTTTTATAGCATTTGACTTCTATAATTTTTTTGTAAGTTCTGGATATCAGCCCTTGTCTGAAGTGTGGCTGGTATAGATTTTTCTCCCATGCTGTGGACTGTCTGTGTGCTCTGCTGACTGTGACCTTTGCTGTACAGTACCTTATTTTCATGGAGTCCCATCTTGGGTTAGTCCTTGAGCTGTGGTGTTCTATTTAAAAGTCCTATTTTAGCTAATCCAGTATATTGAAGGGTATCCCTGTATTTTCTTCAAAAGTTTTCAGTGTTTCTGGCCTAAGAAAGATCTTTGATCCATTTTGAATTTTTTTTTTTTTTTTTTTTTTTTTTGGTACAAGATGAAAGATACAAATCTAATTTCATCTTCTGTAGATAGAAGTCCAGTTTTACCAACACCATTTGTTGAACAGGTTCTTTTTCCAAAGTATGTTTTTACTTCCTTTTTCAAAAAATTAACTTAGCTTTGTGGTCTGGTCTGTCTATTCTATGTCAGTACAGGACTTTCTTTATCGCTATAGCTCTGTAGTAGACTTTGAGGTTGGGATTTATAATAATTCCCTTTGTAATGTTCTTGGTTCCATATGAATTCTTGTATTTTCTCTAAACCAGTGAAGTATGACACAGACATTTTGATAGATAGTTCACTTATTCTATAAATTAAGTAGTATAAATTCTGCCATCCCAAGAAAATGGACTCAGCAAACTGGCCATGTTTTTTGTTGGCAGATTTAATATAGTTCAATTGCCATTGTCAGTGCTTTTGTTCATTTAAAAAAATGTTTGCCCAAATTGGGCATGATTGTGCATATCTGTAATCTCAGCACTGGGGAAATTCAGGCAAGGAAGGTGGCAAGTTCAAGGCCAGCTTCTCTACAGAGTGAGACACTGTCTCAAAAAGAAAAAAGAAAGAGGAAGGGGATGATGGAAGTTAAATTTGGTTGTTTACACAAATGTTTTGCTGTACACCTGCCCCCCCCCCCAAGCTGAGGACAGCTTTCAAGAGTAGTAAGTTCTCTCCTTCCACCATGAGGGTTCAAGAATCAAACGCAGGTCTTCAGACTTGACAGCAAGAGCCCTAACTCAGTGAATCATCTTGCTGGTCCCTGAAATATGTACTTTTGTGAGTAGTGTAAATTAGAGTCAGTATTTTTTGTAAGGAAAAGACTAGATTTTATAGTTTTTTTTTTTTTCAAGTGAATCTCCAGCAATTTTTAAATGTCGTGCCCAACACCTTGAGGATAATTAATGACATTAAAATTTGAGACTTGTGTCTCCAAAATAATGTGTTTTTTTTTTTTTTTTTTTTTTTTATGTGATAAAGGGGCACAAGTGTGCTCGTTATTATAGAATGTGTTAGGGATAGGTGAGCTACAGTGAGTAAGTAAATATGTTTACTGCACAAGTGTCAGGGACCTAAGTTCGGTGTAAAAAGCTAGGTCTTTCTGCCTGTGTCTGGAATGTCAGTGCTGAGGGGGACATGATTTATGTCCATCTGTTGATAGAAGACAGGCGGGTCTCTGGGATTTGCTGGCTGCCAGCCTAAACAAAAAGTGGTAGAGCTCCATATTCAGTGCTGTAGGAGGGAGGGGGTTAGGTGGGAGGCAATAGAGGCAGACTCTGTCTGCTACATGACCTACAGGTGCATGCAGCCTCACTGGTTGTACACGTGCACCATGAGTGCTTGCAGACACACAAAAGTGAAGAACTGCTATATTTGTGTGTGTGTTCTTGAGAATATTCTCTTACTGTTTGAATTTTTTAATTTTTATAGAGTTGGAACATATTTAACTCTCAACAAATGAATTCCACACTTGAACTCTGCTGCATTCCTGTGCCGCCTCCTCCTTTAAAAAACTGATCTTAAGACAGGTAAAATTATGACCTTAACTTTTTAAGAGATGAAGAATAAATTTCCCATATGATTAAGCATGTTAAGAATTTTTGGTAACCTTTGGTGAGTAGCTTTATTTATTATACAATTTTACCTGAAATAATCACATCTTACTAACAACCTTTGAATTCTCAAGTTTTGAATTATTTTAGTAATTGCATTTAACAGATGTGTTATCTGGATTTTATTTCTGTTTAGTTAATTTGTTCAGCACAATTGTGGTATCAGGGTACATCAGGATCACTGTTGTTCAAAGCAACTTTTGTGGCCATGGCTGTGTTCCTTTTCTGTTCTGTCTGATATAGGAAAATAACCACATGTAGCTTCTGGGTATTTGACATGTGGCTAGAGCAAATAACCTGCTCTTTCCAGTGCTTATTAATAATATACAAAATATATAAACTCAAAGCCAGATGTTGTTTTGTTTGCCTGTAAGCCCAGCACTTGGGAGAATTAGGACTCATATTGACAAGGTTCAAAAATAGGAACAAGGAACAAAAAAACTTGCAAAGATAGTGCTTGGCTGCATGGAGTCTGACCACCAGCTCCAAGCATCCTGATGAAAAGCTGCTGTGTTTTATGAAGTCTACAGAATGGCTGCAGGCAAGGGGGCTCAAGGCCACCAGCCTTATACCCATGCCAGCTAAAACTGAATAGATACAGACATAGGTTTGCCATCATAGAACCTAGCAATCACATGTTGCAGACTTGAGTGCCAATGTGGGGAGTAGACTCACAGAGTTCAAAATTCAGCCTGATTGAGGACTGACACTATGGTTGTGTATGTGTTCCTTTACCATCTTCACACCCTATGAGGAATAATGAACTTGTTTGGGATGGTGTCCTAAGTATCTGTATAAATCCACATTAGGAGAACAGGATAACCAACATTAGGTTCTCAAGCATTACAGAAAATACTAGTTTTTGGAGTACATGACAGATTGCCTTAGGAAGTGATGTCATCAATAAAGCTGCCCAAGGTATGTTCACAGACTCTCCAGCTGCCCCCCCCCCAAATGAGGCCACAGCCCCTTACAGCTGAACAGAGGGGATGAGTAAGCCCAGCCCTAGCCCTTGAAGCTACAATGTAAATTTTCCCAGGACTAAATCATACTAAAACTTCTGATAATCCCTGAAAAATGTAGGAAAGTCAAGAAATGCCTGACGTTCAGGGGGTTTGTCTGAAGGCTGTCTTTCTCCTTCAGGTCCCCTACACATATACACCCCACCCAGTCCCCCCCCCCATGTTATCATCCCGCTCACTTTTTTACCCTAAGTGGTCTTAATGAAGTGATTTTTTTTTAAAAAATGAAGTCCTCTCTGGTCTTTAAATATATATATTAATTTATTTGTGGACAGGGGTGGGGTGTGTGATAGTCATAGCACAGCCTTCTGGCGGCCGTCAGCTCTCTTCCTCCCACATGTGGGCTTTAGAGGTTGAACTCAGAACTTGAGGCTTGGCAGCAAATGGCTTTTACCCACTGAGCCATCTCTATGGCCCTCTCCAGGTTTTGGAAAGGAAGCCTCCCTCTCTCTCCAAGGCCCTGCTGTTGTCTGGGATATGATGCTTTATCTGTCCTAACTACTTTCACATTCAGGACTGATCATTGTGACACCTGTGAACATGAGACACTGAGTAAAGAGCAATCTGGAGGGTAATTAGTCTCAGCCTTCTGGACCTACATTTAAAAATTCATTCTTTTTGGTTGTGTAATGCAGGTTCCCAAGGAGGCCACAGGCATCAGATTCCTCTAGAGTTAAGAGTTCTAGGCGCCTATGAGCCACTTGACTTGGATGCTAGGAACTAAACACAAGTCTTCTGCAGGAGCAGTATGCTCTCATAAGTTCTGAGCTATCTCTCTAGTTCCCCAAGCACACGTTTATTATAACACAGAATAGATCTAATTTCTGTCTTTCCCAGAAAGCAGGAAATACATTTTATTTGAATTAACTTAAATAGCCATTTTCAGCTTAGAGTGACTATATCATATAGTACAGTTTTGCCTTAGGGCATTTAGTCTTTTCAATAATAGCTGAATAATCTGTTTTGGACATACATTTTGAAATGTCTTCATTTTTTTCCCAATTTTCTGGGGTATTGGGGAGGGTTTCTCTGTATAGCCTGACTGTCCTAGAACTCTCCTGTAGACCAGGCTGGCCTTTACCTCAGAGATCTGCATACCTCTGCCTCCCAAGTGCTGGGATTAAAGATATGTGCCACCTTGCCTGGCCTGAATTTTTTTTTTTTTTTTTTTTAAACCCAGTTTAAGACTTTGCAGTAGGGCTGGAGAGATGGCTTAGTGGTTAAAAGCACTGGCTGCTCTTCCAAAGGGCTCAGGTTCAATTCCCAGCACCTGCATGGCAGTTCATAACTCCAGGGGATCTGACACCCCCCCCCCAAGACATTTAAAAAAAGGAAAAGCTCAGAGAGGGAAAGACTTTCCTTACAGGAATTAAATTCTTTAAAAAAAAAATGTAGTAACAGTTATTACTGTCTCATATGTTGCACTGGTAATTCTATAGTTTTGTGTATGTATATATTTGGGGAGGGAGGAATTGAGACAGGGTTTCTCTGTATTGCTTTGGAGCCTGTTCTGTAGATCAAGCTGGTCTTCAAAACTCACAGAGATCCGCCTGCTTCTGCCTCCTGAGTGCTGGGATTAAAGGCATGCACCACCAACGACCGGCTGTTAGTTATCTTTATTTTTGATTCCCTTGAAACCCTTGAGAGCACTTATTTTCTTTTAATCCCTTGATGTAGTCTTAGTATTTTCAACAATATTTCCAATAACCGATCATTAATAATTATTCTAGGATAAAAATGCTTCTTGAGTTGTGAAAAACTTAAATAATTGTAACAGCTAACATAAAGTATACACTATTCTAAGACATTGTGTGTTATTCTGCTATGAAGAAAAAAAAAAAACTTTGTCAGTTGGGTGTGGTGGCAGCATGCCTTTGGTCCCACCACCAGACCAGCAGACAGGAGGATCTCTGTGATTTGAGGTCAGCCTGGTCAACAAGCTGAGTTTCAAGCCAACTCGGGCTTCACAGTGAGACCACGTCTCAAAAAAACCCAACAAACCAAACAAAAACAAAAAACCTTTATCATAGATACTTCCATTGTCCTTATTTTATATAAAAAAGGAGTTTGAGGTGACAAAGAAGTAATTCTTCCAAAAAAAAAATTGCATGTTTGATGGGCCAAAGTTCTCTTTAGGCCATTACAGTGTATTAGACTTGTTGTGTTCTCATTCTGTGTTGGGATCAGTCAGAGTCAGGGCCGTTTGTATGCTTGGCAAGCACCTTACCAGCTGAGCCACATCCCAAGCCCTAGCACTTTCTTTTCTAAAGCAGGGATTTATAGTTTTGCTTAGATGTCAGAACAGTCTATGAGTATACACTCTTCATAGCCCCACCCACAAAAGCAAGTAAATAAATAAATGTAAGAGCCTTGTTTTCTCTCTTATATCTGAATTTGTATATTTGTAGTTTCACTGTATCAGTATTCTAGTTTTTATTTATTATAAGCCATTTCAAGCTGTAACAAAATAGATGAGTAATATAATGAATTTTGTGTACTGTTAATTAAGCAAAATGGCTAGCAACTTAAGGTCAGCCATTCAATGCAAGGGGCTGGAGAGATGACTCAGTGCTTAAAACTGCATACTGCTATAGAAATCTGAGTTTGGTTCCTACCTCCCACATCTGGTGGCTCATAACCACCTGTAATTCTAATTCAAGGGAATCTGATGCCCCCCCTTTTTTGCCTCTGAGAGTACATAAATTCACATGATTATACCCCCACACAGACACATCACATGTATGTATTTTTTAAAAATATTTGTATCTAATTTACTCTTCTGCCGTGTGTCTGTCCCCCTTTTATATGTCATAATTGAAACTTGATTTTAATGAGGTTGTTCTGGTTTGCTTTTGATTGCTTTCATAAACACCATGACTAAAAGTGTCCATCATTGAGGGAAACAAGGTAGAAATTCAAGGCAGGAGCTTGCAGCATAAACCAACAGAGCAATGCTGCTTACTAGCTTGTTTGGAGTCTCACATTTAGGTACTTTAGTTACACATTCAAGACCCACCTGCCTAGGGATGGTGACTACATCCAGCCATGGGCTGGATTCTCCTCCATCAATTAACAGTCAAGAAAATATCCCACAGACAACAGCCATGGGCCATTTTGTCAGAGGCTGTTTTTCAGTCGAGGTTCTTTCCTGTTTCATACATACCCAGTTGACAACATGAAACATTACACACAAGGTCTTCAGCACCAGTGTCTTAGTTAGGGCTTAATTGCTGAGATGAGACACTGTGACCACAGCAATTATTGTAAAGAAAAACATTTAATTGGTGCTGGCTTACAGTCCCAGAGCTTTAGTTCATTGTCATCTTAGCAAGAAACATGGCAGAGTGCATGCAGGCAGACCTGGTGCTGGAGAAGGAGCTGAGATTTCTACATCCTGATGCACAGACAGCAGAAGTGAATGCTGTGTACTGGACCACGTAAAAGACCTCAAAGCTCATTCGCACAGTGACACACTTTTCTCCAACAAGCCCACACCCCTAGCAGTACCACCGTCTATGGGCCAAACATTCAACACAGGAGTCTGTGGTGGCCATATCTATTCAAACCACCACACCTACTCAGTGATTGTAAACCACAGAAGGAACCCCCCATTACTCTAAAGCAAACGCCAATCATTTCCCTTGTAAATATTTCAGTATGTGTTGTGTCTCTAAGGACCTTTTACAAAAATACAGTAGGAAAAAAAAACCTTTTTTTACTGTTATTAAATATAAAAATAAACTTTGAGCAGGGCAGTAGTGGCATATGCCTTTAATCCCAGCACTCCAGGAGGGAGGTTGGTGCAGGCAGATCTCTGAGTTCCTGGCCAACCTGATGTGCAGAGTGAGTTCTACAGCTTTTAGTTTTGTTGATACAAGGTCTTGCCGTATAGCCCAGGCTTGTCTTAGAACTCACTACATAGCCCAACTTGACCTCCACAATTCTCTTTCCTCTGCCTCCTCAGTACTGAGATAATAGATACATCCAATTTAAGGATTCCTTCTTTGCTACTTTGAAGTGGGGAAAATGTGAAAGCATGAAGACAATGAGTGTCTGACATATCATTAAAAAACAAAGTTTATTTTTTAAAAGTTTTAACTGCACTCCAAACTAAGCAGAATCCTCTATCTAAAATACAGACTAGTTGATTTTCTTGATTAGTAAGATGGATATATTATGTACCTTTGGTAATCTCTGTAGGTAATGCTGTCTTCAGTTTCATTTCTTAAAAAATATATTGTAGATAAAAGAAGAATAGAAGGAAGATGCTGGGATCGGAGCGAGCTGTTGTAGAAGAATGGTTGTCAGAGTTCAAGGTAAATGTGTCCAGAGTTCGAGGATGGCAATGTGTTCTGTGAAGAGCCCCGCAGATATCTTTCAAGTGGAAGTTACAAAACGTGGAATAATACTTCTCTGTATGAACAAGGGTCGAAGGGATTATGTAGAAGTAAAATAATGGTTAGGATTAAAATATATCCAGTAGATGACTGGAGTTGTCAAGTTTTAATACTAATGTTTGTTTCCTGCTTCAATTTCCTGTGATTAAAAGTCAAATAATTGTAATTGAAAACTGTATGATGGGGAGAGGTACAGGGGAGGACAGGAAGGTAAGGGAACTGGGATTGACTTGTAAAACAAGCTTGTTGCAAATTTAAAAAAATATCAAAAAAAGGAAAACTATATATAATGTACATTTGTGAAATGTGTTTTGTAAAAGCATAAGTACAGGAGCTGAAATATATCCTGCCATTTTGTAGTCTAGATTATTTTTAAGTGACCTGTTTCTGTGAAACCTAGCTATGATATGTAGCTTGTAGTCATTTTTGTGGCTAAACAGTTATTTTTATGTTAATTACTTAATACTACTTATTTTACATTTTCTTAACTCTTATTTTAATCAAGCAGCATTCATATAAAATAAGTTTGCTTCCTAAATGTTAAATTCATTTTGTTGTCCTTTGGTTTTATCTTAGGCATTACCTGACACTCAGATCACCAGTTATGCAGCAACTTTACATCGGAAAAAAGCTCTTGTACCAGCACTCTATAAAGTTATCCAAGATTCAAACAATGAGGTAGGGAAATTTAAAAAGTAAGTTCTAAGTAGTAAGGTGACACCTGTCCTAAAATCGCATACGTGTGGGTGTGTAGTCTTCTGCCTCCCTTGTGGGTCTGGAAAGCTTCTCCTTTTTCATCCTGGTAGCTGCTTCGGCTCTCTCCACTCCCAACATTTGAAGGTGTTCTGGTCTGTTTTCCTGATGGAGGTGATGTGCTTTGATTCTCAACTGCAGTCACCTTCTTCTCAATGGATTGTTTATTTAATGTATATTTTTTTTCCTTTGTGTCCTGGAATGTTCGTTCTCTGGAAAACAAGCTTTAATGGTATACTTAGTCAACCGTCTTTATTTTAATATCATTTATTCTTATTCCTTAATACTGTAGTGATATTTATAAGCACTCTGATCAGTTGTAAACTGATAACACAAAATTATTCTGTTTATTAAGTTTACTTGAAAATTATCAGAGGAAGTGCTTTTAAAGATCTAAATAGCAAAGATCAATAAACAGAATAACAGTTAACTGTTACTCCCTCTGTGGTAGAAGATGAAAACGCAGCGACTGCATCTATCTGTTAACTTAGCCCAGATACACACAGTAATTTTGCTAACACAGTCATTCGACATAAAGTTTTATCCACTGGATTCATGTGTGCTTTGACATGAAAATGAAAGGAACACACAGGAAAGTAGCTTCTTATCTCCCCAGATACAGCCTCCAAGAGTGTCTCTGCTGTACACTGCAGCGAGCTGAAGAAGTAACCGTCAGGTAACCATCTCCTAGCCGGCAGTCTAACTCAAAGTGCATCTTTACTTTGTCTTCTTCTCACTAAAAGCTTGCTTATTGACCTCCTCCTCCCTGTCTCCTGTGTTTGAATTGGCTCTCAGCCTTGCATCTACTGTTATTTCTAGCAGTGGCTGCAAGAGTCATTTGCTGCTTTTTCTCCTGCTGTGTATTGCTGAATTGTTAAAACTTTGGACATGGGCTGTGTATGTGTGAGTGTGTAGATAGATGTACACACTCATACACACATAACTTTAGTCAGGAGTATTTTAAATTTTCTAAATAATAAATGTGTATACACCCTGCCCCTCGTCTTGCACTATCCTAACATTTAAGCTTTGCTTATTAAAAATTATTTGTTTTATGCTTTTCTCTTTAGATTGTAAGCTCTTCATGGGCAGTGGTCATATATTTTATGATTGTTACTTCTCTAGAATGCAACATTTTATTGTGTATATAATGAGTATTTATTAAATATTATATGCTTGGGATGTGGCTCAGAGGTTAAGTGTAAGTAAATAAATAAGCAAGTAAATACTGATTAGAAAATAATAATACAAAAAGTCAAGTACTACTAAATCTGTAGTACTCAAAAGATATGAAAATGTTCTCATTTTAAAGAACTTTTAAGGAAAAAATTTTTTAAGGTAAGACATTTTTAAAAGTTGCTCAGACTATCGTGTATATTATGCTTTATAATAACACATGAGACAAAGTCATGGTTCAAAATGGAAATGGTAGCTTGAGAAATCCAGGCTTAAGACATAGCATTTATTGTCATGAAGTTTTAAGGGAAGGTCTTGGTTCCATCCTTATTTGTTGTCAAATCAGAAGCTTTTAACTAAGACATTTGAAAATCCAGGATAATAAATTCTGTAGAACCTCAGAACTGTTGTGAACAGTAGTTGTAGACAGGTACATTTAAGTCCTGATTTTATTATATTCTGAAGTATCTTCATGCCACCAAGATGTTATTTTAGAAAATGGCACATGCTTTACTTAATATGAATTGAACTTAGGATAGTCTGCTTTATCATAAACACCCTTGATATGAACTTCTAGAGTTTAATGTTGCATGTTGTGACTACCCTTGTTACAGCTTGACTTTTAACCTCTATACCCCAATACTGTTTTTTTTTCTTTCTCATTTTAACAGACCCCTTAGTCTTCTAATGGTAATTCCATTGTGAGCCCTCCACTCTGTTAAGTCCCCTCTGTTCGTTTTATATTTTGACTTAATACTCTGCCTTGCACCTTTTCTGAGATGGGTGTGCAACTATCTGACTCTTCTGTCCCTGCTTCCCATCTCCTCATGAGTGTACAAGGTTAGATGTATAAGGATTGCTGGGCAGTGGTGGCACACACCTTTAATCTCAGCACTTGGGAGGCAGAGGCAGGTGGATCTCTGTGAGTTTGAGGCCAGCCTGGTCTACAGATCAAGTGCCTGGACAGCCAAGGCTACACAGAAACCCTGTCTTGAGGGGTGAAGGGGGTGGGGTGAGGACTGAGATCTGAATTCATGTCCTCGGACTCAGTGTCAAGTGCTTTACCCACTATGCCATACCTGCCCACCACATTTCCTTCAAACAAACAAACAAACAAACAAACAAACAAACAAACCACCTTCTATTATCTGCCTTATTTCTGTCACCAGCACAGATGGACTTAAATCTTCACCTCACATTATTTCTTCTACTCAGGCTAGGCTCAGGTTTCTGTTATTTCACTCAAAACTCTTTCAAGTATTTTCATCAGATAGTATGTCTCAGTATTATGTTAAAACAGTATTTGATATTTGATTAATTTAGGAAAAGCGTCTGTTATTCCTGTTTTTTTTTTTTTTTTTTTTAAAGCCAAAGATGATGATTGGTATTACTTTTGATGTGGATGGTAGTACTGTTTTTTTCTTTGTTTTTTTTTTTTTTTTTTTTTTTTTTTGTTTTATTTTGTTTTGTTTTTTTGAGGCAGGGTTTCTGTGTAGCCCTGGCTGTCCTGGGACTTTCTCTGTAGACCAGACTGGCCTCAAATTCAGAGAGCTCCACCTGCCTCCTGGGTGCTGGGATTAAAAGCATGTGTCCTGCACCCCCACCCCCAACCTGGCTGGATAGTACTATTCAGTGGGGTTGTTTGTTTATAGTTTGTTTGAGACAAGATCTCATGATGATATGCAGCCAAGAACACCTTTGAACTTTGATACTCCTGCTAAGATTATAAATGTGTGCCACCATTTCTGATTTTCATTAAGAACTTCAGAAATATTAGCATGATATAAATGCTTAGAATTAAAGGGATTTTGTTTTGTTTTGTTTTGTTTTTTGGTTTTTTGGTTTTGGTTTTTTGAAACAGGGTTTCTCTGTGTAACAGCTCTGGCTGTCCTAGAACACACTTTGTAGACAAGGCTGGTCTCAAACTCATAGAGATCTGCCTGCCTCTGCCTCCTAAGTGCTGGTAATAAAGGTTTTAATAGACATCAATGACAGGTTTTAGTGATCTTATTTTGTACTTTCTTATGGAAGGTGAGCCACTGAGATGACTCTGGGTAATGACACTTGCTACAACCTGACTTGGATCCCCAGAACTCACATGATGGAAGGAGAGAACTAGACCCACAAAGTTGTTCTCTGACTTTCATACGTGTACTGTGGCATTAAAATGCACACGTACATAAATGTACCAAAAAAAAAAAATATATAGACTAGAAGGTCTTGGTAAGGACAGGGAAGCTCGCCAAATAATAATATAGCACACTGGCAAACACAGACTACTTATCTAATAAATTTAGTAGACTAGTATGTCAAAAGGTATAGTGATAGTATTAAAGTACTTAGAATTAGAGGTTTGGTCAGTGTAATATGTAGTCTATTGAGGCTTTGTTGAATTGACTCATATATGGAGGAGTTAATTTTAAGAATAATTTTATAAAAATAAATATTTTCCGTTTTAAGAAATACAGTTACAGCTCAAGCAATAGAAATAATATTGCTCTGTTTTTCTTTTAGCTGCTGGAGCCTGTCTGCCACCAACTGTTTGAGCTCTATCGTAGCTCTGAAGTCCGACTCAAGAGGTTCACACTGCAGTTCCTGCCTGAGCTGATGTGGGTTTATTTGCGACTTACAGTTAGTAGAGACAGACAGAGTAATGGCTGCATTGAGGCACTTCTCCTAGGAATTTATAATTTGGTGAGTTGAAAGTGATTTTAAAATATTTTTTAAATCCTCTGAAATATTTGAAGATTGTTTAGAGAACAGCAAATTGAAATGTCTATTGAATAATATTTTGAGTTGGATCTAAACATTTGTGACAAGTTTTGTATAAAGTTGTTGAAGATATAATTGGTAACATTGTTAGATCAGATGATTTACTTCAAAGCATTTCTGAGCCAGTATTTATGAATGTCTTTGTCATAAGAAACTAGCTGGGTACTGAAATGATCTACGTGCTTTTGGGGCACCTTCTCTACTTCAGAAGACATAGTCATAGATGACTAAGTCATTACTACTTTCTGAGGAAACCGTGTCTGTAAAGGTATACTTTTGATCACTTTTGATTGGGAATAGATGAGATTTTAAGACGAAGTAATTGTCTTAGGGTATCTTTTGCTGTGATAATATACCATGACCAAAAGCCACTTGGGGAGGAAAGGGTTTATTTTTTTGTAGTCCATCATCTAGGGAAGTCCGGGCAGGAAACTAGAAGTAGGAACCTATGAAGTAGCCATGAAGTGGTGTTGCTTACTGGCTTGCTCTTTGGGGCTTGCTCAGCTTGCTTTCTTAACACATGTAAGGACCACCTAGGGCGGGAGGGCGGGGCTGGCCCTCCCACATCAATCATTGATCAAGAAAATGCCCCACAGACTCACAGGCCAGTCTGATGGGGACATTTTCTCCATTAAGGTCCCTTCTTCCCAAATGATCTAGCTTGTGTCAAATTGACATAAAAGTAACCAGCACAATAATCAAGTGTGCATAACAAAAGGAAAATCCAGTTAATTCCATGCAGATAAAAAGCATAGAATATACGTACAAGCTGAGAAAGATGCTTACTTCTTCTGTTGTTGTTAAGCTTTTGTTTTCATTGTCATTTTTGTTTCTTCCTGTGCAGCTTAGGTGAGCCTCAGCCATAGTATGTAGTTCAGGCTGACCTTGAACTCTTCTCTTGATCTTGGGCCATAAGGTCTCATTCTTGATTCTTACTTTAGCCTCATTAAGGCCAGGGTTGCAGACAAGTACCACTGTGCCAGCTAGAAAATCCTTTATCTTTTTTGGAGAAAGGGTCTCATTATATGGCTTTGGCTAGCCTGGAACACAGTACATAAATGAGACTCACCTTGAACTCACAAAAAACTTGCTCTTGTCTCTGCCTCCTGAGTGCTGGGATTAAATGTGTACCCCACCACATCCAGCAAGAAAATCTTTTTATTGTGAAGAGTTCAGGTTTCTTTAATAGGCATTCACAGGGAAAGCAAATGAGAGTTTTGAGAGTTATATACATGCTAAGAGGATGGATGTAGTGTGGTGCAAATTTCATAATTTCATTTTTCTTAACAGTTAGTAATATTCCATTGGAAATATGTCCCATTTTTATTATTCAATTTATAGATATTATTAATAAAGCAACAATGAACATGAATGAGCAAGTGTCTCTATAGTAAGATATAGAATCTTTTGCATATATGCCCAAGAATGATGTGGCTAGAACTTTGGTAGATCTGTTTTTAAATTGGACCTCATAAAACTTAAAAGTGTTTTTTTAAATGAAAAGCTAACCTGATTGTTTTTGAGATAGAGTCTCACTGTGTGGTTCTGGCTGGCCTTGAATTTACTATGTAAACCACCATAAAATGGTAACTGCAGTACTGGATATTTGAATAAGTTTATGTCAATTGTTTCACAATGTAAATGTATCAAAACTTCACATACACAGGAAATATATGTGAATTCTGTCAGTTACGGCTCAGTAAAGCTGGCAAACACTTCATTTGTGTTATAATAATGTGCTCTTATTTTAGTGTGGGTCTCTTGGTTTTAGTCATGTTTTGTTTACCCATGTTTCTACTAAAAGATCTGATCAATATTTTGCCCTTTAGGATCTAATCACTTTAAATCTTCCTTTTCCATGTAACCTGCTTTTCTGCTTTTGCTGTCATGTTGGATTTGATGTAGTGTAATTTGTGATCAGTATCTCTGTGGGTAACAACTCTGCCACAAACATATACCAGTTTGTTAATAAATTTGGAAGGGTATGATACAATAATATTTTTTTTTGTGCTATTGTCTGTAAAAATCTTCACAATTACCAATAGTATATTCTGTTAAAGAAGTAATTTTTATTTATTTTGCTAAAGACAATATTACATTGTTTTTGTATATTTTTATTATAGGAAATTGCTGATAAAGATGGAAACAATAAAGTGCTGTCTTTCACTATCCCTTCCTTATCCAAGCCTTCAATATACCATGAAGTAAGTAACATTGGGAACATGGAATATTTCAAATTAGGCTGAGAAAAAAATAAAATAAAATTATCCTTTACCACAGTACTGTGAGTACTTTTTTTGTTTGTTTTGGAAACATGACATTTTGTAGCCCAGGCAGGCCCAAACTCACCAAGTGGTAAAGGTGACCTCGCACTCTTAAACATGATTCTGTCTTCCAAGTGAGATGATTACACCACCATGTGAAGGGCCCTAATATATACTCTTTTCTGTTTCGAGTTGAGATGTCTCAGTGGTTAAGAACACTGACTGTTCCTTCCCTATGTTCAATTCCCAGCACCCACATGGTAGGTCACAACCACCTGTAAGTCCAGCTCTAGGTTCTCTGACACCCTCTTCTGGCTTCCATGGGTACGGGGCATGCATCTGATACACAGACCTACATACAGGCAAAACACTCATACACGTTGAGAGGAAGGGAAGGAGGGAGGGGTTATAGAGGGAGGGAAAGAGGGAGTGAGAAAGGAAGGAAGGGAGGGAGGAAGGAAGCAAGGAAGGAAGGAAATAGGTATTGGGCCAATAGATGACTTGGCACATAAAAGATTCCAGCCACCAAATCTGACAACCTGAGTTTTCATCTCTGGGACCCATTTAGTGGAAGGAAAGAACTAACTCCCATGAATTGCCCTCTGATTTCCATTGTGCACACATTTACATTAAATAAACTAAATGGAGTGAATTTCTTAAATCTATTTTTATTTTATGTTTTTGTTGTTTTGCCTGCGTGCATGTCTATGTGAAGGTGTCAGATCCCCTGGAACTGAAGCTATGAGCTGCCAGGTGGGTGCTGGGAATTGAACCCAGGTCCTCTGGAAGAGCAACCAGTGCTCTTAACCACTAAGCCATCTCTCCATCCCCTGTGGAGTACATATTTTTTTTAAAGAGTAGATTGTGTGTAGTGTCAGATTTGTGTCGGGGAGTTAGTATTTAATGGAAAAATTTTCTCTAGTTCTTGTCTATTCATTTATTTTCTGTCACCAGTATTGTTTTTAGCTGTTTGGGTTTTTTTTCTTGTTTTGCTTTCTGACACAGATTTCTCTATATAACAATCCTGGTACTCCTCTCTGTAGACCAGGCTGACCTTGAACTCGTTGAGATCCACAGTCCTCTGCCTCCTAAGTGCTGGAATTAAAGGCGTGTGCCACCACCACTCAGCTCATTTTCAGCCTTTTAAGTCAGTTTTTAAAATGAATTTTCAAAGAATTTTTTCATATTGTTTATTGATTATCTTTGTTTAATTCATTTTTAGTATTCTTTAGGAAAGTAATTGCTTACAAAAGTGTTGATGCTTCATTATTTTTCAGTATAAAGAAGTGTCATTGCCATTGTTGCTGTTCAGTGACATTGGTTTTGCTTATGTTTATTCCGTTGAAGAAGATGAGTGTACTCATGTACTTATGATTATATAGGTCTGGGTTGCTGTTGAGCTGAGCAACATTCAGGAAGGAAATGTGTTAATAGACTTTGATGTGTCAGATTGTGAGCATTTAAAACGTTTACCCTAACGATTTTATTCCATTTTCTTTTTTTTTTTTATTGTGGAACTTTTTTGTGGGTTTTTTTTTGGGGGGGGGGGGTTCGAGACAGGGTTTCTTTGTGGCTTTGGAGACTGTCCTGGAACTAGCTCTTGTAGACAAGGCTTGTCTGGAACTCACAGAGACCTGCCTGCCTCTGCTTCCCAAGTGCTGGGATTAAAGGTGTGGGCCCCTACCGCCTGGCTGGGTTTTGTTTCTTTTTTAGTTTATTTTTTACATTTCAATCCCAGTTCCCCCTGCCTCTTCTCCTCCCACTCTCCCCCATTCCTCCCCAATCTCCCATCTGCTCCTCAGAGGGGTTAAGGCCTCCCCTAGGAAGTCTACTGAGTCTGTCTCATCATCTAATGAGGCAGGACCAAGGCCCATCTCCACTTCCCCCCACCCCCACATCTGTGCTGAGCAAGGTATCTCTCCATATAGAATAGGCGCCACTAAGTCAGTTTGTGCATTAGTGTTAGATCTAGTACCCACTGCACAATATGGTTCTGTGCATTTGCCTGCAAATTTTAGGATGTCATTGTTTCCTACTGCTGAGTAGCACTCCATTGTGTAAATATACCACATTTTCTTATAGGGGCATCTAGGTTGTTTTCAAGATTTGCCTATTACAAATAATGTTGCTATGAACATAGCTGAGCAGATGTCATTGTGGTGTGAATGCGCCTCCTTTGGGTGTATGCCCAACAGTGATACTGTAATATTTTGTGGTAGGTTAATCCCTAATTTTCTGAGAAATCACCATACTGATTTCCACAGTGGTTGTACAATTTTGCACCCCCACCAGCAATGGAGGAGGAGTGTTCCCCTTTCTCCACATCCTGTCCAGCCTAAGCTGTTATTGATGTTTTTGATCTTAGCCATTCTGATCGGTATAAGATGAAATCTCAGTGTGGTTTTGATTTGCATTTCCTTGATAACTAAGGACGTTGAGCATTTCCTTAATTAGCTGTCTCTCTGCCATTTGAGATTGTTCTGTTGAGAATTCTGTTTAGATCTGTACCCCATTTTTTAATTGGATTATTTGGTAGTTTATGTCTAGTTTCTTGAGTTTATGTATTTTGGAGATTAGCCCTCTGTCAGATGTGGGGTTGGTAAAGATCTTTTCCCATTCTGTAGGGAGATGTTTTTGTCTTGTTGACCATGTTCTTTGCTTTATGGAAGCTTCCCAGTTTCAGGAGGTCCTATTTATTAATTGTTGCTCTCAGTGTCTGTGCTACTGTAGTTATATTTAGAAAGTGGTTTTCTGTGCCTATGCATTCAAGGGTATTTCCCACTTTCTCTTCTATGAGGTTCAGTGTAGATCCATTTGGACTTGAGTTTTGTTCATGGTGATAGATGGGGATCTATTTGCATTCTTTTACATGTTGACAGCTAGTTATACCAGCACCAGTTTTTGAATATGTTTTCTTCGGTTTATACTTTTACCTTCTTTGTAAAAAACTAGGTGTTCATAGGTATATGGGTTGATATCAGGGTCTTTGATTCAATTCCATTGGTCCACCTGTCTGTTTTTATGCCAATACTAAGCTGTTTTCATTACTATCGCTCTATAGTAGAACTTGAAGTCAGGGATGGTGATGCCCTCAGATGCATTGTTTTTGGCTATCCTGTGTTTTTTGTTTTTTTATGTGAAGTTGAGTATTGTTCTTTCAAGGTCTGTGAAGAATTGTGCTGGGATTTTGATGAGGATTGCATTGAATCTGTAGATTACTTTTGGTAGGATTGCCATTTTTACTATGTTGATCCTACCTATCCAAAAGCATGAGAGATCTTTCCATTTTCTGATATCATCTTTAATTTCTTTCTTTAAAGACTTGAAGTTCTTGTCATACAGATCTTTCACTTGTTTTGTTAGAGTTACCCCAAGATGTTTGATGTTATTCGTGGCGATTGTGAAGGGTGATGTTTCTCTGATTTCCTTCTCAGCCTGTTTGTCATCTGTATATAAGAGGGCTACTGATTTTTTCGAGTTAATCTTGTAACCTGCTACATTAGTGAAGGTCTTTATCAGTTGTAGGAATTCCCTGGTAGAATTTTTGGGGTCACTTATGTATACTATCATATCATCAGCAAATAGCGAGAGTTTGACTTCTTTTCCAATTTGTATCCCTTTGATCTCCTTCTGTTGTCTTATTGCTATAGCTAGAACTTCAAGTTATATTCCATTTGCAACACACATTATCCTGTCTGTTTTGTGATTTAATGAAACTTTTTTTTTTTTTTTAATTAGTTCCCCTGAGACTTTGTTTTGTGTTAGAAATAGTCCTGGTCAACCAGGATTCATTTTAAAATGGAATATTTCTGAGTAATAAATTTTAATGTAGTTATTTGTATTGTTAGAAAATAAAATGGATAGTAGTGATATTAACAAATGGTTATTCTGACAAGAAAAACGTGAAGTCAATTGCATAGATACTAAAGAGATTTTTATCATAGTCTTCAAATCAACATTGTTTGTTTTATATAAGTAGTTGTGTGTTCTGGAATACAAACAAATATAAATATATTTCTTTCAAACCCAAGTGTTTTCAGCAGCTTTTCTTTTTCTTAAATATAGAGTAACTCCATAATATTTCAAAAGGTAGTGATATACTTCAAATTTTATGTCTTCTACACATACTTTCCGAAATAAAGTATAAAATGTCATTGAACAGAGAAAACTTATTTCAAACTACATTTTATTTAAACAAATAAATACAATTACATGATACAAATTTTTAGTTCATTTTGGAGACATTATCTCATGCTATATCTTATTTTTTTTTTGTAGCCCTCAACAATTGGATCCATGGCTTTAACAGAAGGGGCATTATGTCAGCATGATCTCATCAGGGTTGTATACAGTGACCTTCATCCTCAGAGAGAAACATTCACTGCACAAAACCGGTAATGGTTAAAACTACATAGTGGGGGCTGGAGGGATGGCTCAGGGGACAACCACTGACTGCTTTTCCAGAGAACCTAGGTTCAATCCCAGCACCCACAAGGAGGCTTAGAACCATCTGCAACTCAGGTTCCAGCGGATCTAACACCCTCTTCTTGCTTCCAACAGCACCAGGCATGCATGTGGTACACATACACACATTCTGGGGAAATATTTCCATATATAAAATAAATCTAAAATAATTTCAAAAAACTATACAGCAACAGTGGTTAAATTATGCCTAATAGCTAAGTATAATTAACTTCATTTCAAGCTTGATATGAATAGAGTCCAAAAATTAAATGTGTCATACTGGTAAAATGCATTATAATACAGGCTGAGCATCCTTGTCTGAAAATCACTTTTTTTGGGGGTGGGGTGGGGGGGGTGAGGGGTAGTTTGAGATCAGAATTCTCTGTGCAACTTTGGCTATCCTAGAACTCACTCTGTAGATCGGGCTGGCCTTGATCTCATAGAGACTCACCTGCCTCTGCCTCCCAAGTGTGCGCTACCACTGCCCGGCCCATAGCATAAAGTAATACATAGTAAAAGTTTCTCCTTATCCTCACTAGCACCTGACTTCCATCTTCTGATCTTAGTAGGTACAGTGATGGCATAATTTTTACTGTGAAGTATCTTTACAAATATACATAGTTTTACCCCCAAATTAAGTATGCATTACTTCCATACAGTTCATCAATAAAAGTTGTTGTCTCTCATCCCTCCTCCCTTCCATTTTCCTTCTTCATAGTTCTCTACCACACCATCCATCACCTATTACATATACCATTTAGCAATCAATGGGGAGGATTTATTTTATTAATATAGCTGGGTGGAGAGAGGGTTCTTGTGTATCTGGTAGATAGAGGTTAGGAATGCCGTTCAGCATTCTGAAGTTTCTGTAGGGCATCAGATGCCCTGGAACTGGAGTAGCAGGTGGTTGTGAGCTGCCATGTGGGTGCTGGGACCCAAGCCCATGAGTGCTGTAATTAAAGTTATGTTCCACTATGCCCACCCTTAACTTTTTGTTTGATTGTTCTTTGTTTATTTATTTATTTATTTAGTTAGTTTTTGAGACTGGGTTTCTCTGTGTGGCTTTGAAGCCTGTCCTGGCACTTGTTTTATGGACTGGAACTCACAGAGCCCCACCTGCCCACTTCTCCTGAGTGCTGAGATTAAAGACCTATGCCACCATTGCCCAGCTTCCTTAATAAGTTGAAAATATTGATGACAGCAAGGGTTATGAGTCATAATAATAATGGAAACAAACTACTGAGGAGGATTCTATGGTGACCTGATTAAGAAGAAACCATTAGGATTTACATTAGGCATTGCTATAACCGTTTAGTAAGTATATAATTTACTATTGTTTTTGATAGAAATAAATAATTGCGATCATTTTTTGTTATTTTTCTAGGTTCGAAGTCTTGAGTTTTCTCATGCTATGCTATAATTCAGCTATTGTGTATATGCCTGCCTCATCTTACCAATCTCTTTGTCGAATGGGTTCCAGGTAAAAAGATTAATTATTATTATCATTCATATTCATATTGTTATTTGGGAAGTATTATATATGCCAGGCTGTTTAGCTTCTGGTACAGTAATACATAAAATTCACAGAGCTCTCATTCTTATAGGAACGAAAAATATTTTAAGGGTCTGGAGAAATGACTCAGCAGTTAAGAGTATTAACTTAATTTGCACAGGATGGGTTCACATCCTATTATCTACACAGTGGCCTACAACTATCCTTATTTAGTTCCAAGTGTTCCAGTGTCCTCTTCAGAACTCTGGTAGTGCCATCACATAAGTGCACATAGACACATGCAGATGAACACTTATACACATAAAATACATAATTAAAAATTGTGAAAAGAAGATTATTTTAAGCAGAATATTTCCTAGCTGAACAAGGAGCTGGTCAAGTCCGATAAGTTTAGGATCATTTACAGTTTACCAGATTGCTTCCTGGATGTATTGTTTTTATAAATCATTTTAAGAGTTTTGAATAATAGACCTATGGGAAAAACTTAAGAATGTGAATCTTTCCCTTATATATTTATGGCCTCACATAGTGCAAGCTGACCCTTCCAGCCTCTGTTTCCTCCATTGGGATTATAGGCATGTTCCTTTATATATTTTGTAAACTATTGTCTATATTAGAAATCTGTGTGATGGTAAAGGAATATTCTCTGTGTGCTACAGATTAGTCTTTATTACTTCAGAATTTCTAAAAAGTTAGACTTGGCTGAAATTTAAATAGCTAATGTACAAAAAATATTTAAAGTAATATAAATCTGCTTAGTGTCACAGAATTTCAGTTCTGAGCTTATGTATTACAACTGACTTTTAACTTTAGAAAAGTGACTGCCCCTGCCTCCAAGAGTTAAATCATATACAGTGCTAGCCAGGCAGTAGTGGCACATGCCTTTAATCCTATCCTAGCACTAAGGAGGCAGAGGTAGGTGGATCTCTGAGGCCTGCCTGGACCTCAGATTGAGTTCCAGGCAGCCAGGAAGGAATACACAGAGAGATCCTGTCTTGGGGCGGGAGGGGAATCACATTCAATCCCTCTCTTCAGCAACATAACAAATTCTTGGACCAACAAGATGGCTCAAAAAAGGTATACAAACTTGCTGAGAAACCTTTAAAATGTGAGTTCTCAAAAACTGAAACTACAAAGCTGGGTGCAGGAACCCTCTTGCAGTACAGTGGCAGACATAACACAGTGGGAGAAAGGAAATGAGTTCACAGAAGTTGCCTTCTGATCCCCACAGATATATCGTGAGATATACACGCATACAAAATATTGTGTTTGTTTTTGTTTTGTGAGACATGGTTCCTCTGTGTAGTGCTGGCTGTCCTTTAACTCACTCTGTGGACCAGGCTGGCCTCAAACTCACAGAGAGCCACCTGCCTCTGCTTCCTGAGTGCTTGGATTAAAGGCGTGTGCCACCTCTGCCAGGCACAAAACAATAAAAAGAAAAATAAGTTCTCACAATTTAGCAGCTCATAATATCGCACAATTGTTATTTCATAGTTTTTATAAGGCAGGAGTGCATACATGGCTTACTTGTGCCTGGGGTCTTTTCTTTTTGAAGACAAGGGTCTCATTGTGTGCTTCTGGCCTGGAAGGAACTCCCTGTGTAGACCAGACTAGTCTCCAACTCACGAAGATCTGCCTACTTCTGCCTCCTTAGTGCTGGAATTAAAGGCATGTGCTACCTACTGCACCTGGCATCTTAGAGGTCTTTTAAGACTCTAAAAAGACGTAAAGAACTGTATCCATACATGGCTTTTTTTTTAATCTAGATGCCTGCCTGCTGGAATCTGTCCTCACTTTCATGTCTCATGGGCCTCCTATCAGAAGCAGTTATGATATCACAGCTTGCTTCTTCAAATCTGAGAGTATCCAGTATGATGTTACTTTAGGAATAGTTATACACATAATGTACAAATAGTGTACACACAGTGTGGAATCCTTTCACCTTACTACATTGTGTTGGCTAGAAGCAAGTCACATGTTCCTCTCTAAGTGGACAAAGGAGACACAACATAAATACCGGAAAGGAAAGTTGACAGGGACCAAGAATATGTCTGTGAGAAATGCTCAGATTCACAGTGCTATTCTGTTACTGAGAAGAGTACAGTCTTGATTATAACAAAACCATGTAGTTTGAGTAATTGACAGATGTCTAATCCAAATTATCCATAACTTTTAGTTTATAGATTATCTTAAAATTTAATATATTATTTTACCCCACTTAACAATATTAATGGTAAACAAGGTTCTTACCTTTAATGTAGATTCTTTGTCCCCTGGAAAACTTTTAAAAGCTGTTCTGAACCTTGTTTTTAATTGATATTCAAGTTTTTTCATCTTTCTTAATAATTGCAATTATTTCTATTGTGTGACCATTGATACGATAAAATCATTTGATTGTTTTAAAAATATAAAAATGTAAATACCACAGTAATTCGATACCTATTCTTGTCCATTAGGGAATAAATGAGCAAGCTTCACCTTTAATAGTCTGATTTTTGTTTTAGAGATAGACTTTATAGGTGAGACTGATCTCACATTTGTTGCGTGGCCCAGGCTGGCTTCCTTTCTGTCTCTTGAGTGCTGGAATTAGAGGCATGTACCAATATTTTTATCAATGTAATGCTATTTTCAACTTGCCGTATTTTTATTACTTTATTATATTCTATATATGTATATAATTTTTAGTTGATTATGACACTAAATTTTTTCTTCTGAACTTACTTATAATTAACCTAAAACTTGTTATAGATGTTATAACATAACTGTTTATTAAGATTCCATTTTTAGAAGCATCTCAGTGAAATGAAAGGCAGTTGTTCATTATATTTGACTAATAGTGGCTTCAATGGTCTTGGTTGTCACTGCCTACAGAGGTGATAGCATATTCTGTTTGGCATCATGACCACTCTTACATCTCTTGAGCATCCTAAGGTCCTCAAAAGAGGACCAAGGAGTTCATTTGGTATCAGACTGATAGGTTAAAATTAAACGTAATTGACAAGAACACATTGATACATAAACAGCATGCAGAATAGATTCAAGGGCAAGCTTGATTATAGGAATAATAATTCCTAGCACTCCAATGACAGAGGCAGATGGAGTTTTGTGTCCAAGGTTAGTCTGTGCTACATAGAGAGTTCTAGGCCAACCAGGATTACATAGTGAGACCCTGTCTCAAAAGAAAAGAAAGAAAGAAAATAAAATTCATGCTGCTACCAGAAGTCCTTGGTCTACAATACCAAGGAGCAGAGGTGCTACTCATGTATAGACAACAAATCTTGCTGAGTGAGATTGTTCCTTGTAGTTCCATTGTGGAAGGAACAGGTCCATGTGCCATGAGAGTCACTAATCCCACTGCTGGGCTATACAACAAAGAAAATGAATAGGTAATAATTGTGCAAGTTTATTTTGCTTAAGTAAAACATCAATTAAATAATTGTGGTCTCATGAATAACAGCATTTTAAGTGTATTAAGATTTATCTACTACCTAGTAAGTCTCCACTGCAATTTAGGATGGAAAATAGCTATATATTTATATGTTTGAGTGAAGGGGTAAAAAGATGTCTGTGAAAGAGGTGGTTTGTTAGCTATTTGGGGAAACTTGTTACTTTTTATGTAGCCCACTAGATAGAATACATGCTTTGTGAATAAAGGCCTGCTTTAAAAATAAAGACAAAACAGTAGCAAGGGGTGATGACTCCTTAAATGAATGATTAGGCAATCAGGAAGTCACATGTTAACTATTGTATTTTCCTAGGGTTTGTGTGAGTGGGTTTCCAAGGCAACATGAGAAACAGTGGAAGGAAATCTGTGGTCGAATAGTATTAGATCCTGAATTTATGGTGCAACTTCTCACAGGAGTTTACTATGCCATGTAAGTAGGAAGAAGATGAGTTGTTCTGCACATGGGAACCTTTTATATTTCTTCTTCTTTCTAATAGAATCCTTTGCTTCATGATAGACCTGTTACCTTGTTTTTTTTAATATGGTGTCTATTCAATACTTTAAAATAGTCAGTTAATAACATGACTAGTCATAAAATTAGATCCATCTTAGAAATTTTTAAGTCTTCTATTTGGAAACTGTATCATTTCTATGTCATTCATTATCATGATTATCACGAATACTTTAAATAGATTACTCTGAATATCAACACATGGTAAAACCCAATTTTTATATAGAAACCTCTGTAAACTACTTTAAATATAGAATTGAAACCTTCATTTTGTTATTATAACCAAAGTTAGGATAATTCAGCAATGAAATAAAATTTGAAGTATAAATTTTTTTTATAACTAAAGTAGTATCATAATAGCTTAGAACTGTTTTAAAGTGCTGAACATTATTGATATCTATTAAAAGTACTAAATAATCCATCCCATAGGTATAATGGACAGTGGGACGTTGGCCAGGAAGTACTTGATGACATCATTTATAGAGCTCAGCTAGAGCTCTTCTCTCAGCCACTCCTGGTAAGTTATTTTTTTTTATACTCTTTTTCCCGTAAAGGGTAGAGAGTTACTTAGGTCCTAGCTGTGGAGGTATGTTGACTTCCTTCCCACTGGGTTTTTTGAGACAGAGTTTCCCTGTGTAGCTTTGAATCCTGTCCTGGCATTCACTCTATAGACCAAACTGGCCTTGAACTTACAGAGATCGGCCTGCCTCTGCCTCCCGAGTGCTACATGTATGTCTGTGTGAAGGGGTCAGATCTTGGAGTTACAGACAGTTGTGAGCTGCCATGTGGTTGTGGGAACTGAACTGAGTCCTCTGGAAGAGCAGTCTGTGCTTTTAACTTCTGAGCCATCTCTCCAGCCCATGTTGACTCTTCTTAAAGCATATATGCTCTAAAAATGTTGCCAATGAGCAGAGGGCAGGAGAGATACTGAGATAAATTGAAAAATGAGATGTTTTGAAATCCTTAAGAAAAGGGAAAACCAAGTTGACCATAGTAGTCTACACTGGTAATACCAGCACATGGGACCAAGGGGATTGCCATTGGTTGGAGGTGATCCTCAGCTATATAGTAAGTGACAATAAAGCTCTGTTAAAGAGGGAACACCACATAAGTTTTCTTCTGATGCATAGAAGAAAAAAAAGCTATTTAGGCTTATGTGAAATCCTTTTTGATATTACAATCAAAACTAGGACAGTTTAGAAATGCAGTAGTAACTGAAGGAGATTATTTTTCTCCACATAAATTTAAATTCAAATTATTACCTTTATATTAAAAAAAATAGAGAGCTGTGTGATAGTGGTGGTGCATGCCTTTAATTCTATCACTCAGGAAGCAAAGGCAGGTGGATCTCTGAGTTCAAGTCCAACCTGGTCTACAGAGTAAGTTCCAGGACAACTAGGACTACAAAGACAAACCCTATCTTTAAAAAAAAAATTCATGGCCTTTGAGGCCACAGAGGGACATAGATAGGAACAATAGTTGCTGAAATCTGTGGGCCATGCTGAATGGCTCTGTCCATCATTGGCCCTGGGATAGATGGCAATATCCCTTGCTGGACACTGCAGCAGGAAAGCTGCCCCTGCACTTGGAGAGGTGGCTGTGCCCCTTCTCATAGGCCATCCCAGTGGCCCAGACCACCTAGCTCATTTACCACCCAGACCCAAATCCTCGGCCTTGGATTGGCCCACCCTAACATCTACCACATTTATGGACCTACTGGTGTGTGTGAAAGGACTGGTCCTGTGGAACGTTAACTACAGGATCTCCAGGACTTACGGCAACAGCAGGATATCTGAGAGGAGTTTCCATGAGGGTCCAATGATGATGGTGTGCCAGAGGCCTTGAACCAGACCAGTGACTCATTGCAGTGAACATTTTGTGGGTAGGGTCTGTTGGACACAAGGGTATATACTGTGTGACACACCTCAGCACCCAGTGCCACTAGGATGAATGAACAGGTGTTAGACATAGGAACAGAGTGGATTTTGTTCGTTTATTTTGTTTTTAGTTGATTTGGCGGGGATGCTTCAGGGTGAGGGGAGAATATTGAGGAATTGTAAGTTGAGTATGATTGGGGTGCATGATGTGAAATTATCAAAGAATTATGTTATTTTTAAAAAAGTAAAATTAACATGCAGTACACAAAAAGAAGAATATTCTCTGTAGGTGTAAGAAAACTCCAATTATAGTTGTATTCTGTTTTGAAGATTCCATACTTTCCAGTGTACAGGGACTTGTGAGATAACTCAAGATAAAGTCACTTGAGTTCAATCCCAGAACCCACATGCAAGGAGAGAACTGATTTTCACAGGTTGTCCTATGATCTGCAGAGTCATATCCCAGAACCTATGTAAAGGTGGAAGGACAGAACTTACTCTGTAAAATTGACCTCTGACCTCCACATGAGCATAATGGCAACCTCCCCCACAGTACATGCATACATATACACAATAACGAAGTTTAAAGGAGAAATGTAGCATACAATGGGGGGAAGACGAAGGCATTCTTTATGCTTTGGTGAGGATAATATGACTCTTACCATCCCCTTGCAGAAGCAGTTTAGTATGAGTGTTTGTTTTCTTAGATTCTTTATCCCACATCTAGTTTTGTGTCTCTGGAAACTGGTACCTTAAAAGAGCATTAGAAAGGGCTGGAGAAGTGGCTCAGTGACTAAGAGTATTGGCTGCTCTTCAGGAGGACCTGGGTTTGATTCTCTGCATTCACATGTTGGTTCACACCCGTCTGTAACTCCAAGTCCAGGAGATGTGATGCAGTCTTCTGGCCTTTGTGAGCACCAGGCATGTATGTGGTTTGTGTGTGTGTGTGTGTGTGTGTGTGTGTGTGTGTGTGTGTGAGTGTGTGTATCCACCCATACACATAAAATAAAATTGAAAGTAATAGAAATAAATTACAGTTACTTTTTTTTGTTTGTTTGTTTCTGGGTTTTTGGATTTTGGAGACAGATTTTTTTCTGTCTAACAGCCTGGCTATTCTGGAACTAGCTCTGTAGACCAAGTTGACCTTGAATTCAAAGATCTCCCTGCTTCTGCCTTCTGAGTGTTGTGTTAAAGGCATTTGCCACTGACACCACCTAGCCTACAGTGTTACTTTTAATTGCAAAGAAATAAAAATAGTCTAAGTATTCCCATAACAGAGAACAATTGAAATTTGATATTTTCTTAATGAAATTGTTTGAGAACTTATATTAAAAGAAAAAAAAGTAACAGGTTAAGTGGGAAAATATATATGTATTTTAAATCTACATATGAAAGGGAAAACAAAATACTAGTACTTCTAGGTAATTTGACTGTATATGGGTTCTCTCTCTCCTTCCTTCTTCCCTTTTCTTCCTTCCTATGTGTCCCTGTGTGGCTTTGAATTTATAATTCTGTCTTGGTCTTTCAAGTGATGGAATTACGGTGCCACCATGCCTGACATGCTTTTATTTTTTTACTAGTTATTAAGCTTTCTGTAGTGGTTTTGTGATACTTAATATGTTTATGCATTTTTCTACTTGGGGTAGTTTTTAAAGCTGTTTTATTTACTTACAACATTTTTAATTTTAAGCTCAAATAAATTTCACTGATTCTAGCATTTTTTTCATATCTAAAAGCTAAACAAAATGAAGAAACAAACATCTTCTGTATTACTGATAAATACTTAACCTTACTAATATTTATCAAGCCTTGAAACAGCTTCCTACTCCAGGTCTATGTGGGTAGATCAGATATACTTTCCTAGGTTGCTGCATCCAGCATGTGCTTGTCCATGTGCAGAAAGAAAGAAAGACAATCCTGACAATCCTGTAGCCCAAGGCCTTTGCTGTATTACTGTTGACTGGTTTAGAGACACACCAGGCAGATGGCAGTTGCTTGCTAACCAGGTTTCCCAGTCTCCTCCTTAGAAGCATAAATACCAGGAGACAATGCCGACATGTATTCAGGGCAAATCTCTGCTCATAAACACACAGGAGTGAGTGCAGGAAAGTGTTACTATTTTATCGCAGATTGTCTTCTGTTATTTATCATATGAAAAGGCAGGAATTTATTCTAACTTGTTTTATACCTTGGTACAAATATTAAACCTTTTTCTTTGGAGTGTTCTTTGCTTTTGAAACTCAACAACTTCAAGAATCCAGCGTGGTATATGATTTGCATTTTAACAATAAATTTTCTCTTAAAAAGAATATATTATATTGAAAATAAATATTTCTGACACATCATGCTTTTATATTATCAACTTTATATGTTACAAGCTGTACATCAAAAATAGTGGAAACATGCAATGTAGAAGAGGTAAGAATTGTATGTTGGTTGTAAATTTGTATAGACTTGTATTGCCCATGTAGGTTGCCAATGCCATGAAGAACTCATTACCATTTGATGCACCTGATTCTTCACAAGAAGGCCAGAAAGTACTTAAAGTAGAAGTTACTCCAACAGTGCCGAGGATTTCTCGGACTGCAATTACAACCGCTTCAATCCGTCGCCATAGATGGAGAAGAGAAGGTAAGCATAAAATTCCCGTAGTTTGTTTACTCATGGATTCAAGTAAACTTACCACTGTTTGTCCAGAACGTCTAGTGCTTGATAGTAATTAATGCTCTGTGTATTAAAGTAAAATATTTTCATTTTTAAAATGGTACTAGAAATATGGTAATACTTTGATATAAAAATACATCTGTTTATAAAGTAGGAAGATGATAGACTGTTCTCTTAATGTTAAAACATAAAATAAGACCTAGTTAAATTTTGTCTTTTTTAAAAAACTAGTAATAAAAATAGGAAAAAAATGTTGCTGTAAGCCTATTAACTGGAAAAAGGTACATGTATGAGCACTGTGGGAGAAAAGTATATATATGACTGGTCAAACTAACAGTATAATACAAGCTATCCATAAAAAAATTGTTACTTTTTTATTTTTATATTTGCTCTCTCTTTTTTCCCTAAGAACTGAACCCAGCAATATTTTATAGACATTTGTTACTTAATAGTCAAGCTGTCTTGCTTATGAGACATCATCATTTTTAATGATCCCTATTTTTTGTCCTATTCATTTGCAAACCTCACATTGTTCATCTGCTGCCTTATGTGTGTGCAAGCTGTGCACACACATGTAATTATAGAGATAACTGTTTGTGTTATTATCATATCCATATATACATTCTCTTATCTGCCTGGGTCAGAATGCTCAGAGAGGAACAGAGCAGCACAAAAGTACTAAAATGTTATATGTTGAATCCCAGATGGCTTTGACTTCTCAAACGAGGCTGACTCGAGTATTCCTGGCTCCCCGATCCAACACGGCTCCACTGACCTAGGGATCAAACGTGTGCAAGAGGGGGAGGTGCGCAGGACCCCTGAGCATGGCTCGCCGGAGCCCAACTCAGCAGCAGCCACAACAGAGGGTAGGACAGAGATGAGGAGGCAGAAGTCAGTGAGGCAGTTGCTGGAGAAGGACCCTGGCTCTCTGTCCCCAAGCAGAGCACCTTTCCATTCTAGTGTGTGTCTGCACTACCCCTGGGTGTACTAGCTCCTCTTTGCAAAGCAACCCTCCTCCCCATATGCCTAGCGCCAGGTTAGGTACAACCTTTAGTTGCCATTTGTGCTGGCCTGGAGTCTGCATTCCTGTGTCATCAAGCAGCAGCTTGGCATGGCTACTAACAAGGCGGGGGCCTGGATGAAAAGGTCTGCAAACGCTTGGAGTTTTCATTACTGAGCATGTTTATTCTAACATTCAGGAAAAAAAAAAAAAAAAAACCCGCATCCAATGGTCATGAGCCTTATTAGTCAATATTAATGTGTACACTTGATAATTTATTCTGTAAAAGTCTGTGAAGAGAATTTTAAAATGCAGGTACATTTAAGAAACTCAAGTGGTGCTGGCATTTACCTGTTTTCTAGGGTGTCCACTTAACAAGTATTTCCCTTCTCTGACAGAATGCTGGTGTTGACTGGCTTCTTAACAGCTGGACTAAGTTGTCTAATGAATCACTGACATCTCTTCCCTGGAGATTCTACACTTAACAGTTTTTTATAAATAGTGGTTATAGCTCCCAGATGGAAGTGAACTGTGCTGTTTACAGGTCAAGTACAGACAAGATCCTTGTTCCTGCAGTGTAGGTATTTACACATAAAAACCCTGTGTCCCATCACCACTTGGAAAAGAACACTTCTCTCTGACAGGAAAATACTTGCCTGCTGCTGGGTCTGAAATGTCATATTAGTTAGCTTTGTGGAAGAGAGAACTGTAGCCAAATGCTTTCATTATTTAGTTTATTACCCCTGGAGTACCACTAGAAAGCCTTATACCAATAAACCTAGAAGTGGCTTTAAAAGAGAGTAACTATTTCTACTTACTTTAAAGACCAAACATACATAAAATATTTACCTTCTACCCTAAGGACATGTCTTTTTCTCTGGTGTATGAGAAATTTGAGCATGCTCAGTAAGAATCTAAATGTACCCTCAGTTCCTCACCCACTTGCCCAAATTGTCGTACTTCATTTAACAGTATTGCATGTGCATGACCTAACGACCCCAAATGTGGTCCTGTTTCAGAGATCTTCTTGACATGGCTGTGGAAGATGTGACCTTCCTTTTTGTCTTTCTGTATCTCTTTATCTTACTCCTAGCAATTAGTTGTATCTTGTCAAAAAAGAGTAGATAGGAGTAGATTTGGAACTAGAGTGGATCCAAACTAAACAACAGTGTATTTCTCATTCTTGATGACTAATTAAGCCATTTGATATTTATGAATAGTTGTTGTTAGGATGTTGAGATTATTTGTGCTAAAAAGAATGCCATATTAACAGACATTCTTGCAAGTGTGACTCTAGGCCGAAGCATTACTTCAAGTTCATCAACCATATACTTTGAAAAAGGAACCAAAATAGTAATTCCTCTTCAATACCTTTTTAAGTCTATTAAGTCCCCTGATACTGTTAAACTTTTAGTTTGTGGTAGTTTGCAAGGGTATATAGCCCAAGGAAAGTGAATATATTTCTTTAGCCTGCTTGAAGCTGGGTGTGGTGGCACATGCATTTGACCATACCACTTGAGAGATGATAGTATTTTTTGTTTTTTTTAGATCAAGACCAGCCTACTCTACATGCGTTCCAGACCAGTCCCTGTCTCAAAAAAGGAGAAAGATAATTTTATCTCTTAACCTAGATTAATTGCGGTTTTAAATAAGTATTAGTAGATAAACTTTATAGGAAACTTTCTATGAACAAAAAGATCAGTGAAACACTTTTCAGTTGCGTATTCTTGAAGTCATGGATGTTATCACAGACAGAAAGACCACAAAGGGAAATTTTTTTATTTTCTTGGGGCTTTCTGTTGTTGGGTTTTTTTTTTTTTTTTTTGAGATAGGACTTCACTGTGTAGCCCTGACTATCCTAGAACTCACTCTTTAGATCAGGCTGGCCTCCTCAGAGATATATCTGCCACCACTTCCCTCCCAAGTGCCTGGACCAAAGGTGTGTGCCACCACACCTGACTTTGAGAGTTTTTAAGACAGAGAAAAGGAAATTGAAATTTGAGAATTTTGGTAATTCCCTAGAACAATGAAGCTTTTATATCCCACCTATAATGTACTTTAAAATAAAACCTGTTCATAGTAATAATATTTTATAATAAAAATGTGTTTATTAGGGCAGGCAAAATTGTTCCGGTGTTAAAGGTGCTTGCTCTACAAGCCTGACGATCTGAATGTGCTCTGTAGAACCCATGTAAAGTGGATAGAGAAAACCAGCTCCACAGTTGTCCTCTGGCCTACACACACACACACACACACACACACACACTGATATATACATAATACAAATGCATTTTTAAAAATTAGTTTATTATATGTTTAAAGACTTTAAGCTTTTAAAATAGTGCCTATGATTTATGTATAATCAATGTTCTATTAAAATGAAATAACAGTTCTAGTATATAAATAACAGTATATTCTCTTGCATGGTGGCTTTTGATGTTATCATCCCTCTTATAGTCATACTGCTTGGGCACCAGACCTGCATGTAGCAAGATTTAGAGCCAACACTAAGTCTCTCAGTCTCCTGTCCTAACAGTTTAGATAAACCCAATCCAGTTTTATATAAATATTTTTTATTTGGAACTCTTTATACTACTTATAAGTCAATTATTAAAAGAAGTAATGTAAATCTGAACTAAAATTTTCATTTTTGAGGTACATGATGCTCAGTTCTTTTGAAGGGATTGAGAGAAGTAGTGTCAGTTGCTTTTTTTTTTTTTTTTTTTTTTTTTTAAGTAAATGTATTTTTACATGACTTTGCATGGTGATTAAACATGAATTTCCTGTAGATATTTATACTTGTATTTATGTTTATACTTATGCATATATGTAACAAGTTGCCTTTTTGCCTAATTTGATTCCTTTTTTTAGAAGTAAAATTACTAATCCATGTGAAGAAATGTAGCTAAAAATATTTTTATTTTTCCAGGTACTATGTTAAGTAAAAGATTACTTGAATATGTTATGTTTTGCTTAGGTGAAATTAGTATTTAGATTGTTTGCTAAAATTTGCCTTAACTATCATGTTAATATCTGTTTTATAGATTCATACTTTCTTTCAGTCTGGGAAAAATATTTTCAAATTTTGAAAGAAGAAAAAAACATTAATTTTGAGACTATTTGAGCATACTTTTCAGTAAGAAAATTGGGCTGTCTGGAAACTACAACCTCATTATAGTATATATGATTCTCTGCACAAAAGCTAAATGCAGACTGTGATATGTAATACAGCATTGCAGTGCTCTGTGGACAGTGACAGCACTCAATCTGTCAAGAATGTAAACTGTGCCAGGTGTTGGTGGCACACGCCTTTAATCCCAGCACTCGAGAGGCAGAGGCAGGCAGATCTCTGTGTGTTTGAGGTTAGCCTGGTCTATAGAAGTAGTTCCAGGACTCCAAGACTGTTAACAGTGAAACTGGCTTGAAAAACTAAAAAAAAAGTAAAATGTTAGGAAATACATAAAATAGTAGGAAAACCCTGCTAGTTTCCTTTGCTACCTCACAATCAGTACATTAACTATGGGAATATGGAAATCAGGTTTCATAGTGTGTCCATAAAACAAAAATTTGATTGTGAAGTTACTATAGCAATGTAGTTTTTCAGTTGGCAAATTTAGTAGATAATAAAGAGAAATATATTAAATAGCTATATAAATGCAGTTAGCTGCCAAATAGATAATGCATTTTTATTATAATTTAAAAGGTTTGGCCTCTAGGCCTGACTGACCTGGTATAATTCTGGGTAACTGAAATTAGAAGAGGATTTATTTTGTACAGCCTGTGCTGTATGATGGGTTAAAGAGACAGTGAGGCAAGAGTTTTGTTTAAAGTGAGTAGATTCTGTGACTTCAAATGGATGGCGTTATTAAAGTGTTGTTTTAGTTTCTTGTGCCTACATGTTGATAGTTTACTAGATAATGTTTATGGGTAATTTTACAAAATCAGGACAAATAAAGCCATATGAGAACAATCAAGAAGATCGTGTTAAAATTAGAATAGAGGTTTATTCCCTAAAGTGCTAAGGTCGTTACAAACCTATAGCAAACATTCATGAGATTAGGTCAGTGTTATTCACAGCTGCTTTTTACTTAATTTAGCTACTGCTGAATCTGTCTGATTTATCTTTTAGGGGCTGAGGGTCTAAATGGAGGAGAGGAGTCTTTAAACATGAATGATGCAGATGAAGGATTTTCGTCAGGGGCTTCTCTCAGCAGCCAACCACATGGGACCAAACCATCCTCTTCTTCTCAGAGGGGAAGCTTACGGAAAGTAGCGACTGGGCGCTCTGCCAAAGATAAAGAAACAGCATCTGCCATCAAATCCAGTGAGAGCCCTCGAGATTCAGTAGTTCGCAAGCAGTTTGTACAAGCAGCCGATCTTAGCATAGATTCGGTAGAGCTGACACCGATGAAGAAACACCTGAGCCTGCCTGCTGGCCAGGTGGTGCCAAAAACCAATAGTTTAAGTCTAATTCGGACAGCCAGTGCTTCCTCAAGTAAATCATTTGACTATGTAAATGGCAGTCAAGCAAGTACCAGCATTGGGGTTGGCACTGAGGGAGTTACTAATCTAGCAGCTACAAATGCTAATCGATATTCAACTATCAGTCTACAAGAAGACCGGCTAGGTCATGTTGGTGAAGGAAAAGAGCTCCTCAGCCCAGGAGCCCCCTTAACCAAGCAGTCTCGATCCCCAAGTTTCAATATGCAGCTAATATCCCAGGTGTAGTTTTGATGTCCCTTTATTCTGCTTACCTTTTAAACTGAACATTTCATTGTGCAAGACACTTCATCCCACATTGTGAAAAAAAAAAATGTCATTGTAATCAGATCTGATTTAGCTTAGGTATCTTCATACTGTATTTTGTATGGAAACAGCAATAAGGTTTTCTTTTTCCCTTTAACCTCTCTCCAACTATTCCTTGTAAATGTGTTTGTGAAGCAGTGTGAAATGTTTGCCTTTTCCACACCTTCCTTTTTCCTTGGGTAATGTGCAATCCATTGTAGGCTGATCGGTCCCATTTCAGCACTGTGAGACTGAGGAGATGTTAGAGGAAATGGTGTATATGATCCCTATGAAGTGATTCTTTGGCTTTTGTTATAAACAAAACGGGTTTGTTCACATAATCTATGGAACTATGAAGATAACTGGATCATTTTTTTTTCTTTCTTAACCAGGAGTGCCTCAGAGATTCTGCTATGACTTTGAACTTCTCTGAGTCTGTGCAAGTTTATATTCTTGAGAAGCAAGGGGGAAGGTGGTAGACTCCTGCAATTTTTCATTAAAATGAGGCTAGCTACCCCCTTCCTTTATCCCAAGGATATAAATGTTTAATTATTGAGGCATTTAAATCAACTTGTGATCACCTCCATTGGAGGGTGGGGCTCAAGTTGATTGTGTAATTGATAATGCACTTTCTCAATGGCTCTCTAGTCATTAACAATATGTCTTCCCTCTTCCCACAAGAACTTAAGGACATTTCTGCCCTTAAAGTTTGAACTAACAAATCAGAAACTCCAAGGAGCATGTTCTATTTCCTAGGAATGATTGACACTTTGGTGCTGGGGTTTTGTGGGAAAGGGTGTTCTTTGTTTAGTTTGTGTGAGATTGTATGTGAGGTGAAACAAATTGTTATCTTTTTTTCCCTTTGTGAGTTGATGATGACTGAAGTAGAAACTGTACGTCTTCAGGTAAAGAGAGGGATTTCTCAGTCCACTTTTTGTGATGTCAGACTATTGGAGAAACCCTTTCAGCTGCTTCCTAGATGTACCTAAATTCAGTCAGATATTGGATAAAGACACCTGAAGTCCTGAGATCATATACTCCAAGGAAATACATCAGGGACAGATAATTGGTTGAAAACACTGACACATTTTTATAGAACATTTCTACCAGAGGGTACTGACTTGATTTCTCCACAAGGAACACACTGCCTTTGAGTTTAATGCAATTTGTGTATCTTCTGATTATCTGCAAAGGTTCTCATTTTTATAAAACTTTGAAATCATGCCAGTAAGCTAGATATTGAATGTAGTAAGTAGCATTTGGTAACTGCTAAGAGGCTACAAAAATGCATTATTGGTATAAATTTGTTTTGTTGTGATTTGGTTGGATAAGACTTTCTTAAAATCTCTTCTGGGTGTCAGGCCTTGTTTGAAAAATAAGGGAATATATTTGGATTTTGAAAATCAGTATTGTGACTTTAACTGCTGTCCATCTCAAAAACATCAGTTACCCATGCCCTTGTACATGTAGGCATTTATGTATTATTGTGAAAGAAAAATATACTGCCTTCATTGAAAGCAAGTGTTCTCTTAATTGACAAAGTTGTTTTATCTCTATTTACAGTAGAATTTGGTAAATTAACCAGGAAAATGCCTCTCATTTTTTTCACACATAAACCACCACCACTTTTGGAAGAGTTGTTTGTCTGTGTGTCTGTTTGTTTAGGGGGCCTTGTGTTAGACTCACTGTTGATTGGATTTGATGCTCTATAAAGTTTTTCAGCTCCCAGCAAAATGGAAAACTTGAACCTCAGATATTATTCACATCATTGCCAAAATTTGGAGTAAAGCCAATGGCTGATTCGTGATTTATTGGTTTTTAAAATATGCATATGATATACATATGCAATTATCACAGACACATTTTAGTCCTATTTCTACTATTAACTACGTGATATAAAGTAAACAAAAATGTAAACCAGTGAGGTAAATGTTTTTCTAACATGCTAAACAGAACAGGTTTCTAGTGCAAAGGGATGGTGTCAGTCACTGTGCAGCAGAACACACCTGTTTATGTAAGAGACTTATGGGCCAAGTGCACATAGGTTGGCATCTAAATCAAGCATCTTAGTTAAAGCACAAAAGAATACCAAATAATTTGAAATTATAGATAAACTATAGTAAACACAAGAAAATGTCCCTTAATTAGAAATTATATAACTGTAAAGTTGGTTTTAAGAGATTTTTCAGGGGCACACATCTTTGATTCCAGAACTCTGGGAGGCAGAGGCAGGCTGATCTCTGAGTTCATGGTCAGCTTGGTCTACAGAGCAAGTTCCAGACAGCCAGGGCTACACAAAGAGACCCTGTCTTGAAAACCCAAAAGAAAAAACAAAACAAAGTGTTCTTTTCATCTTAAGAGGCTTTCATTTGTTAGTACGTATAGATTTTGTATATACATCCCCATTAATATTTCATGACCCTATAACATTTGAATTCCTGTTCTTTGGGCCATGATTCAGTCTCAAAAAAGAAATCCTTCATTTATACTGTATAGATATGGTCCTGGAAAAAGTTTCCTTTATAAGACAATAGTTCAAATGAAATGAGTTAAACAAACTGTCCAATATTCTAAGAATCATTTTAGCCACTGTTAAATGGTTTAGAATGGTTTTTGTTCATTTTCACAGCTCCTGCTACAAATATAAGCCTGAAGTGTCCATTCTTTATCCTTTAGCAACTTCTCTTTAACACTTCTCTTCTTTCATAAAGACATTTAGGGAAGAATGTTTGTTTTATGTAATTTTAAAAAAATGATTGGTGCCGTTGGTGCCAGGTCTGATTATGGAATACAGCATCTGAAGCTTTAGGAGCTCTTCTCTGTGATTTTGGATTTATGTTAGTAATAAGGAAACCTAAATATAAAGTAAGCAGTCAACTTAAAAATATATTAAGCAGCCAGAGATGTAATAGTTGTCATTTAAATTCTTGTTCCTTTACTAGCACCCTCACTTTTCCAATCCATTGTTCTGTGCAGCTCAGAACTTCCATGCTAGGAGAGACCCTAGAGATAATCTAGCAGCTCTGTCTGCCATACACACACATTCATCCTCAGGAAACTGAGGCTCAAAGAGATTGTGAAATAAGGTCCATAACTGAGAAGCAGAGCCATAATCAAATCTTGTCCCTAGTCAGATGCATAGCCACGCCCACTGCCTCTTGTTACCCATACTTTGGTAAATATGTATGTAAAACTTTACCATTTCTGCAATTTCCTTATGTTTCTGGTTTAGTAGTTGGTGAACACACAAAGTATTAATTGCAGAAAAATGTAAAATAATAGAGATGGGGATGTGTCAAATGCAGATATCTGTGTAGCACATTATTTTCTAATTTATGCCTTATGAATTCTCTGCCACATAAGTTATATGCTGCCATGTTATTTGTACTTGTGGGGTTTTGTTTAAATGTAAAATAAACCCAGTGAAATGACTTTGATCGGTGTTGCTAACTATTTGGAAGTGATTTTGAATCAGCCAGTTTTCAGTCACAAAAGGTACAATGTAGAGGATTGCACAGTAATGATAAATTCAGTTCCATTCCATTTTAAGCTAAAGGGAGACAGACTGTTCCTTACTGTGCTTAGAGCAGATACAAGCAATATTCTTAATGTATGATGGAAAAAGGTTTATAGTCAGTATGACGCTTATGAGTCCATGTCTATAACATGTCTGCTGTATGAAAACAGCTCAAAGTGGTAGCGTAAGCTGTGCTCACTGTCTCCAACCTGTAGGCAAAATCCCACTTAGTGGCTTTAAATGTGGTAGAATTATTTATAGACACCAGGATACTGAGAACTGCTTTGTTTGCACTGTTTATGTGAGTACTTTAGTGCAGTGGTATTTTTGTTTTCCTGCCTCATTTTATGGGGTTCTTGGTGTCCATTTTTGAGTACTTTGGTTGTTGACAATCGGCTGTCTCATTTAACTCACTGCATGTTGGCTTATAAACAAAAAATACTAGTTTCTGTCTTTGTGGTAGGGTAGCATACTGTAAAACACTGGGAAGGAGGATCACTCCATTTGTGATCTTGGATTACATTATAAAGGTATTTTTTTTTTAAAACCAAAGAATGCTTAGTATTTCAGTTACATATTGTTTTTTGGTTTGAAGAGAATAATATGTTGTGCTAATGAGTAGATACTGTACAGGACTCTTAAGAGCAGCTTTTCTGCACTGTGGTTGTATGATGCAGCTGGAGTAAGAGGCTTTCCTCTTTGAGGCAGGATGACCGCCATTGTTTCACCACCAAGTTTGGGTGAGACAAATAGAATGAGCTAATACTTTTAATTTCCTTTTTAATTTTATTATGTATACAGTATTCTGCCTGCAAGTATGCCTGCAGGCTAGAAGAGGGCACCAGATCTTGACAGATGGTTGTGAGCCACCATGTGGTTGCTGGGAATTGAACTCAGGACCTCTGGAAGAGCAGCCAGTGCTCTTAACCACTGAGCCATCTCTCCAGCCCCCACTTTTTCATTTTAAAGTGGTTTTCAAAAACAAATGATTTGAAAACTAGCTATTGACAGTTTAACCCCTTAAAAATAGAGTATTTGTCAGATTATATAACACAAAATACAGTGTAAAATAATACTAACAAAGTCATGAGTTGTCGGATCGGTACGATTTTTCATGCTAATTCAGTGAGACAAATTTTAGTATTGTTTGTACTGTGTGAATCTAGTGGATATATCACCCTGGTACTGAACTACATAGGAACTACTCAAGTAAGAGGCACAGCCCTGCCTGCCTCCTTGTCTGTGTGGGTGCAGTTTCTCTAGTTCTGACTATATAAGCATAAAATTTTGCTCTTTTTTTCCCAGTATTTTTGTGATAGTAAACATTCATCCCATGACAAATATATACAAGACCAAATAATTGAGGGTACAGTTTCACGGAACTCTAGGAATGATGTGGGATAACTGGCAGGATAGTACAGAAATAAGAGTGTCTATGCTCTGCTTCTGAACTCCAGAAGATGGGTTCTTATGTTTACAGAGTAAGGCATATTCATATGTCTGACATTATACTACTACATTTAACATGGTTTTACCAAAAAAGTAGAATTAAGTGTATTTTAAGGTATAAATGAGTCTTTTTTTTTTTTTTTAATAAATTGTGTATCTGGAGGTAGGTCTAATAGCTATTTTTATTTACAAAGAGAAGTGAACTTAATTGGATGATCTATCCCCATCTATAGAATTGGTATGTGGTTTGCTGTATTTGAGTGTAACAGTTCAGTGTTAATCACAGGAGATAGTCTTACATCTTCATCAATTATAAAATTTACCAAAGAAAATATTACTGACCAAAATAATTTTTAAAAGCATCTATTAAGGAATGTAGCCCATTTAATGTAATGATTGCATTCTAACCCCAAGGGAAACAAATAATAATACATTATTTGAACTGGAAAACACAAATACAGTATATATACAAGATTCTATTTTTCTTGCATCAATAAAATGTAATACTCCAATAAAAGTACCAATTAAAGAATATATCTTAATTTTATTCCTTATGACGTGGTTTTATTAAAATGAAGGATTTGGCTTATCAGTGTGGAAAACCCCATAAATTGGTATGTTATGTATTATGTGTTGTTTAGATAAAATTGTAGGGAAAAATTATTATTGGAAGATATTCCTCAGATGGGTATTGTCATTTATTCCTAGTAAAATATTAGCTAAACTGGTGTGGTTAGTTTACACTGATTTATGTAGGTGTTCACTCTTTTTGTCTTTGCATTAAAAACATGATTGAGCTAAAGGAATCTAAAATATCTACTTCTAAAACATGTAGGCCAAAAGATCTAAAGGGTTTAATCTGTTTAATGATTCCTTAAATCATGGAACATAGTTTTTTAAAAACTGCTATTCCAAACAAGTACCTTTAGTTTTTTAATACAACATAATAGTTAATAAATATTAGTCTGGGAATGGTCACACATGCCTTTAATCTCAGCACTTGGGAGGCAGAAGCAGAGACAGACAGATCTCTGTGAGTTCAAGGCCAGCCTGGTCTACATAATGAGTTCCAGAACAGCCAGAACTACATAATGAGACTCTGTCTCGAAAAACAAGGATGCATTGCTTTTCAGGAGAAAAGATTGGTTTTCAAATAATGACTGGTTATAGTTTGGATTTTTTTAAATTATTGAAATAGAATGCAAAGATATGCTCCATGTGATGTTAAAAATATTTGTTTGAAGTCTATCCTGTGTTTTAAATTGGATCCTTTTGGTTGTTCTAAGAATTAGGCAGACGTTATTAAATTCAGTTTAAAATTGGTTAAATGAAACTGTTTTAGCAGTGCAGGGATTTTACTACCTTGGTTTTATGTAATGTGACTTGTGTAACAGGCAAATAGAATATCCCACTTTCATTATCTGTTTCATAAAAGGATATATTAGCTTGTTGTTTTTAACCAACATCCATTTGTAACTTGGTATAAACTTCCCAAGTATTGAGGGGAGTCTGCTGGTGAAAATTCTGGGCAGGCATGTAAAAATATGATCTTTATCGATGAAAATCCTTTCAACTTAGGACTATTGAAAGGAAAATCTTTTTATTTTTTCCAGAGCTGAAGAAAAAATAAACGCACATTTAAGATCATATGTATGGTGCATGTGAGCCAT